TAGTCGTAAATTACGTCAACAAAGTAACATCATACTGTGATTAAGAAATTGGTATACTACCGTTTATTCACGGTATGTCACTGTAAGCCCGCTGCAAGGTAATAAACTGCAATATATTAACCAGTAACTTACCGTTATCACGCATCATCAGTACCAAAAATATTCATCTCTGCTAGAGGATACCGTGTCCCAACAGGCGGTCATTTACTGTTTAACAGGTCGTAATTTACCGTAATTTCAGTTAACAGTAACATACTGTAAGAGACTGGAGGGTTCCAAAAAAATTGGATGGATGGATAGATAGACACACACACACAAAATATAATTCATGTGCTTTACACCACTTTATTTCAATTCTGATTTTTCCCTGCTGAAATACACATTTCCAAAATCAAAAACTGAAAAGAACTGAAAACATATTTTCATTGAGGAAGCACTTGTTTTTACTAAACCATGTAATCCATTATTTTCTCAGATGGTTGTACAAACAATAACGATATTATGTCATATCCATATCATGGCAGACAACATATGCTCAAGTGTTGGGTTTTCTTAGTTATATTTTGTAGGGTCTTAAACCTACAATGTGAAGTGCCTTGGCATTCATTTTGTTGGCACCATACAAATAAACTGAATTGTAATGAATATAATATCAAGCCCCACACTTCTGCCTTTATATACACTTTGTCCAAAATACTGGCTCACACCACCAAATCAATGCACAAAACAGGGTCCACGACATGGATGAGCGTGTGTGGTGTGAAGGAACTTGACTGACCTGCACTGAACCCTGATCTTGCTTTGTGGACTGAGTTCATTGATTTGTAGGGTGAGCCAATACATGTGACAATTAAAGTGTAAGTAGCTGAAATAATTTTTAACAAACGGGTAAAAGAAGGAAAAAAAATCAAAACTGTTGCACTCAAAAAACCTATTGGACAGAGACAGCGTCTTGCAAGATGGCAAGAGAGCTTGTCTTCATTGTTGTTCGTCTTGTGTAAATGTCCAGAAAGCATGGGCCATGGATCATCTGTGGAGACACAGGTAACAACACATTGGACACTTAAATTATACAAGAAATTCACTAAAAATGGCAAAAACAGTTACCTAATTTGAAGTTCTCCACTCAAATTCAGTAAGCCGCTGGAGGAAAGTTGTGACATGAGGGTTAATGTGAACAACCTTTCGCTTCAGTCCTTCTGCTTGTCCCAACCTTGGAGGTACATTTTGTTCCCTCTTCAATTCAATTCAATTCAATTTTATTTATATAGCGCCAAATCACAACAAAAGTCGCCTCAAGGCGCTTCATCAGGGTTTATCCTTACAAAAAACCTTGCACACGCTGACTCCTGGTATTCCAGGTTCAATACATAGAATGAACCAAAGAAGACTGACATTGCATCAGCAAAGATGTTCTCTTTGTCCAGCTCAACAATTACACGCCCCTCTGCACTCACCATCCAGCAGGTGGCGGTCATTGAACTTTGTCCTTAAATGTATAGGGGCAACATGTTGTCATTATGCAACATAAAATAATTTCAATACTTCACTTCTTCACACTGTCTAGATAGTCATAAAGCAAATAGCTATGTACAGTTAATTATTAATGGCCTTATGTACATAAGTCCGTTTTAACATATTATAATTGTACATAATTGGGAATTATTCTGCACATTAAACACACCTAACAAAGAGTCAGCCCAGTTAAATTACCGGAGATGAATCAACTGTATGGTTATTTTGGAGTTTATAGTTTGTGCTGCTGTTAAACTTTACAGTATTGACTTCAGTATTTCTGCTGTTGGTGTAGCTAGACTACTATGTTGATCAGTAATATGTAATGTGAAATTTGATATTGTTACTTTGCTGGATTCACTGAGACACATGTCCAACAACCTTGGTTTATAAAGGAAATTACAGAAATTTGAGCTAACAAAACAGAGACTGGATACCTGTGTCCACGAAAAGCTCCTGTGCCAAACAGAAATTTTAATATGGTCTAATCAGCTCTATTTCATGAATGACTTCTTACCAAGCATAATCAGCCTTGGGGTGCTTGGCAGGCTTTTAACATGCAAACTGAACAATATAAATTTGCGTGCACTGAAGCCACAAAATTTAGAAATACACATAGTTGCAAAAAGTTCAGTGACCAATTACCTTTCCTAAATGGCAAAAAATAAGAGTATTGTCAATAGGGACCAATTCCCAGTTTTTACATGATCAAAATTATTCACAAAAGGCTTCAATAAACAGAAAATGTGTGCCGACAAGAGAACAGTGCACAAAAATGAAAAGATATTTGAGCTCGACGCTTTAATGGGTTTAACATGACTTAGTCAGCACTCCGCACCGTACAGGTAGTACAAGCACACCTGAAAACACTGACCAGCTAACAGCTTTAAGCATTTGGGCGCAACCTCGGTAGTTCACCGATTCACCTGTTGCAAACGTCCAAGTTTCTATCAAGTCTCATAAATCCATCGGCAACTATTACCTAACCAGTCTTTTGAGTCTCCACATTCATAGATATTGACATTTTGTCTTTGAATGAAAATATCCTGGTAGCTTAAAAGTCAAAACAAACAGTAATAAGAACGCATTTCGGACTTCTCTCGAATAAGTGAAAAAAACACTTACCTTCAGACTGATTAGCTGGTTCCGATCCAACTTTAATGTGTCCCATGTCAGTCCGTTTTAGGGAAGAAGTGTTAAGTGGTTTCATTTAATTTTGAGATACTCCCGCATGGACGAGCAATTTGGAGTCTAGCAGAGTTATCACGAATAGCATATGATCTTCAGATATAATCCAATCAACCTTGCATTTAACCCGATTGAACATCCAGTTACCTCTGACTACTTCTAAGTTGCACATGTTAACGGTCTCATCATCACTCTGTGCTGCAGCGAACTGGATCTGTGGCACAGAATAGTTGATGGCCATGTTGTTCTCCTGCTTTGCAGCTTTATTTGAGAATTGCGGCTTAAACGTGCAAAACTAAGAGAAGCAGATCAATATTTTCTTCTTGTTGTTATTTAATGGTGGTTGGCAACCAGGGAAATCTATTTTCTATCCCAATTTTTGAGTTCCCGACGTGTGTCTCGTCACGTTGTACGTCAGGTGAAGAGTGTGGTGTCGGTCTATCGCACCTGTCACATTAAAAAGCTTTAAAAACGTAACAATCGCTTTAAAAACACAACCCAACGCGCTAAACTGTGATAATGTGTTACATTATCACGTATATCCAGGACATCTCTTCTGAACCAAGACGAAGTGGTGCTACAAAGGAATTATTTCGTTTAGGAGAGTGCATTTAATAGCAGTCTGGCCTGCAACAAAATGCACCGCTAAAAATACAGTTTCTGCTTGTCCCAGAATTTATTAATTTTGAGAGTGAAGTTGTAGGACTGATGCTGGTTAGTGGTGTAGGTTTCATGGATGTGACACCTTAACTTGTGTAAAATGACGACCAGAGCATATTATTAGGTTAGTTCACTGTAGTTAGGCAGAGGTGTCTTAAAAAGTACCACCTTATACAAAACAAATGAAGGTCCAGTATAAGAAAGAATAAGAAGAGAAAAAAAGGAACACCCTGCTAAATGAAGTCATTTTTAAACATTACTCTAAATGTAGCCATTAGTTTTTGTTGCTGGCCATACAAAAAATACATATACTTCAATTATATTTCCCAACCTTACCTAGTACGTATACTAATAATGCTTCTTGGGACTATATTGGCCCCCGTTTTAGTACATAACAGTATTCTTGAAATTAACTTTTAGATGTACTTTTTGTTCACCATAATTGTACTAGCATAATGTCATAATGTCTACAAGAGTATAGTTAAAATATACTCGACTCTATAACAATGCTAACCTTACAAGTATACTATTAATTAATAGTATTAATAATGTTTCACATTGTTTGAATAAACAAATACATTTATTAATATATGAGGTTCCATGCAGTTCAAGGAATTAAATTTTAGTGTGGCTGCAACTTACTCCTTAAGTTAAAAATTATGCTGTATATTGTAGTTTATATGTTATACTACTTTCACAGTGAATCACATTTTATAGTAATACACTCTGAATGAGGATTTAAGTAATTACTCTTAGATCTACAGTAGAAAACAACAGAAATCCGGATGGTGTAATAGTATAATCTCAGTAACATCACCAATTGTTACATTTGCTGTATTTTACAGCTGTTTCCATGAGTATGGTGAGTTACCGTAAAAATAATGTAATCTCATGGAATTTTCCCACAATTACATGCAAATTACAGTACTAAACTGCTAACATCCTTTAGAGCTTTTTACTGTTGATTTTGCAGTACTAAGCTCTGGAAATTACTGCAAAGGCTAACAGTGCACTTAATACAACCAGGGCACCCTTAATTCACTTTAGTGTGCTTATTTCATGTTGAGTGAGGGTGTAAGTACCAGTGCACCACTTGCATTCCTAGCATTTGCATTTGCACTAATCTGGTAAATAGATTTCTGCATATAGAGGTCTAAGAGGAACGTTAAGAGGTCTGAGGGATAATGCAGGAATTGTGGCACTATATCCAAAGAACTGACTGGTCAGATGGTGATTTCATCCCTCACTTGCTCAGCATACGCATATCCTTATGTTTTTGGAAATGGCAACATTTTTATACTACAGACTCATTATTTTTTCTTACTTTTAATTATTACTATTCTAATCATTTCATTTTTTTTTTTTTACTTAGTAGTGGCTGTATTCAGCTCTGTGTCAAGGACATTACTGTTTTTAAAAACCCTGATGTAGCCCTGTGCATGTGTATGTGTGCTTGTGGTCTTCATTTCAGTAGTAGTAGTTTTAACTTTTTTCACCCTGTAAAACATCCCACATGCAAGACGAACCAGTCATGCAAACGGATTTATTTTACATGGCACAAAAAGGTTTTTAGGATTTTTGTCATTCCCCAGTTTTACTTAAAAATGTTTCCTAGACATAAATGTAATTCACCAGACTTCTGCATGCACAGAGGGAAAATAAAACTATTGTGTGTAGTGAAATCATGATTCCCTTATATGAAGGAACATTACCATTAAGATAATAGGTATAATTAATATTTTGTTCACCGTTTCATCACCATCATGGCTTTTGGTTTTACTGACAGGCTGTTATATTTTATGTTTTTCATTGCCAAATTTCTGCACAGCAGCTCAGTGGTTACAAGGTAAAGTCTGACACTCTGACAGTTGCCTAAGGCTCTTTATGCAGGTCACTGCTTAGTGTTGTCCTCTGCTGCACCATACAAATGCTGTTTTAACAAACTTCTCAGAGAATAACTTGCATCTCGTGCCATTTCCTCTTTATGTCTGTTATGTTACACTATATTGTTGACAGTTGTTTATTCACATTGTTTCATATGAAGTTGAGAAGCAGGTTCACACTTGAAACACTCCTCTTGTAAATGCTGGCATATATGTTCGTTCTTGCTCTTCCCTTCCTCATTCTTTATTTGTCATCCTCTCTCACAGATGCCAGGCCTCACTGAGGCCTACTTCAAAATGCAGCCTTTGGCTTAGCTAGTTATTATTATTTATCTGTTATTTTCATTATGATAGTGTGGTTCTTGTTGATAAAATACCACACCTCCTACTGCTACCTCTGTAGTATTAGAGTCTTTTTTTACTTTGTGATAACATTTGTGAGAATGAAACATTCCCTCTTGTGTTGAGAAACTGATAAGAACACCCGTTTTGCATTTAAATCTTGTTAATAACAAATGTTTTACAAATACAGAGTCGATTCCCAGAACCGTCACAGAAAAGTCATTTTCTTCTGTTTTTGTATGTTGATCTTTCTCTTTGTCTTTCAGCAAGATAAGATTGGGGGGAAAATGCTTAGCTAAATTTCCTGAAACTTGATGGAGGTAGAGCATGAGCAATAGATGAAGCCATTAAAATTTGATGCAGACTCCAATTGCTTTAGAAAAATATGCAACTTTTTTATGAAGTTATAAATTATGAAAGAGTAGTATTGTAGTAGTTTGATATATTGCATATTCTAAACAATAGCAATGTCTTGGGCACAGATATATACAAAGATGCTTCAATGTATGAATACCTGAGGACAAGTTACACCTGTTGTTCTGCACTCTCTTGTTAAGAAGGGTAACAAAGAATAATAGTACTCATGTCCTTTCAGTAGTAACACAATATTAAAATAGTACAGCATTTTATATTCATGATTATATCTAAAACCAGCTTCATACCTGAGTGTAAAAACCATTAAAATGTTCCTCAAACTGATTCAAAAGTTTTTCTCCATTTCTTGCCTGCCAACTACGTCTCATCCTGTCTGGAGGTGAAACTTGGGGAGTCTTTCCCTGCTGAGTTCAGTGTGCTCTGCCTAGTCGTTTCAGTCTGATCCCTCTCCAGGGTTCATCCCTCCAGTTCATGATTCTGTTCTCCATGACAGACACATCACAGATGTCCTCTGAAGGCATGGTGTAATATTTGGATGTGACAGTACAAATAGGCCCTTGATGTTGTGCTTAGACAAGCCATTTCAGCTTATCAAGAGCAATGACTTTATCAGACAACCGGCAGCTGCTTATCACAAGTAATCAACCTTTATTTAAATTAAGTCTGATGGGAAAAGGGTAAGCAAAAAGACCGTAAAGGAAAAAAGAAAGAAATCAGGAAATACTGTCTCGCATATCAAAATGCACACGTTTACAAAAAAGGATGCTCACAAAAGAGCTTCTCACTCTCATCAATGCTAGTTAAATAAAGAAATTCTGGACTTCTGACTAACGAAAAGATCAGATAACTGCAGCATGAAAAACCAGAGGACTGGAGCACGATCCTAAACTTTGGTTGCGTTTGTTGAAAAGGTGGCATTAAATTAAAGTACCATATTATGATGGTGGGGTGTGGTCTGTGGATCAGCTGCAGGAGAGGTGCAGTGGGTTCATGAGTAATGCCAGGGGAGGCTGGCCGGCGCAGCTGGTGATAGTTATCTAATCATGCCTCCCCTATTTCTTCTCTATCTCTTCCATCTCTAATATATTGCATCCTTTAGCAGATTGAGGCATCTAACACCACTGACAGTCACATGTAGCTTTCCCAGTGTCTTGGTTTGCACATGGATTTTAAAAAGAAACACTTTGTAAGCTGCTGTAGTCTGTTTTATTTTGACGTCCCGTATGACTAGGACTTTAGCCAAATTACCTTTTAGTGGGTCTGCTTGTAGTCCTTATTGCCTCAAGTTAATGATGCAAGTGTTAGGATGCCTGGGTCGTCGACCCAGGGTTTTTGAGTTTATGATATTATTTATACTGTCTAGTTTTTGGTTTCTTTGAGTTCTGTCTTATGGCTTAGGTCTCTGTCTTCTTTAGTTGCTCTGTCTCCCCTATCACCTGCATCCCCTTGTCTAGTTCGCGTCTGTGTGTATCTTAAGTTCCTATATCCCCGTGTTCAGTCAGTGTTTTATGTCTGCCCTGTTCCCACGTCTCTGTTCCCTTTGTAGTGCCTGCTTATGAGCCTGTGTCTTTGTTCAGTCTGTGTTATGTGTTTCCTGTTTTACTTTGAAGGTCTGTGTCTTATCTCAGTGTGTTCAGTTTACGCTTCTTTGGTCTCGTCAGTTCTGATTTGTCCCAGCTGTGTTTCCCTCCTGTTACCCATTCCCTGATTGCTCCCTCTGTGTATTTAAGCCCAGTGTTTCTCTGTGTCTGTGTCGCGATCTATCGTTTTCCTAGCTGTGTGTTCTGTCATTCCTCCAGTTTAAGTTTGTTTTGAGTTTTTTCAGTTATGTTATATTTTTGAGTACCAAATTAAAGCCTTTTTGTAGTGATGGGCAGATGAAGCTTCATGAAGCACTGAAGCTTTTCATCCAATTGGTTCACCCCAGCGCAAAGCTTCTTGAAGCTTCATTTGCTCTAGTAGGACACCTACTGGACGTAAAAATATTAGTTGGCATGAATTTGAAGAGTGTGGCCTTTTGCACACAGCCTGTAAATGTCAACAACAAAAGGAGTGTGTAAAACATGTATATTGTAGTGATGCAGTATACTGTGTATATTTATA